AACACATCATATTTGTATCAGATCCGATAGAGTTCGTCGGAGATATGAGAGGAAGAGAGAAATGGGAGAGAAATCGAAGGATACAGAAAATGAGGGGGTTTTCACAGGAGATTGAATAAAAAGCAAATGTAGAGGTGGTGTTAGGCGGCAATGGCAGGTCACGACGAGCTAATGGTAGCCAAAAAATATGGTTGCCGAATTTATGCTAAAGAGAGAAAAGGGGTTAAAGTTTCTATATGTTGATAGAGAATAAGTAGTTAAGTTTATAGATGTCAGATTAGACCTATCATTTTTGTTTATGAATCAGACTAAGAGTTGTTGATGATTATAATAGTACCACTTTTTATTTTTAACAACAAAATTACCCTTTTTAATATCTATAAACATGTATTTGAAAATCCATAAATATAAAGCTTAAAATAAATCCATAAATATAAAGGGTTCTTAGCGTTCTTAATCTTTTTTTATTCTCATTTGAACTTACATTATATATATATATATATATATATATATATATATATATATATATATATATATATATATGGAAAGGTTCAATAGAGAACCATTATTAAACAAAAAACCAAGGAATCAATCCAAAACGTCAGAATTTAAAGTGATCAACAGCAAAATGAAGGGTTGTAGAGTTTTAAAATGGACGCACATGCATCAGATTATAACAAAACTATCTTCCTTTTTTTAGGTTAATTATTTTTAGACCACGTTTTTATAAAAAAAAAATGAATATACCGTGGTTCATGATTTTTCGTCCTCTTTCCATAGAGATCCATATTGAAATATAAAAAATGAAATTTTTTTCAAAAATAAACTCAGTTTATTTTCTTTGTTTTTTGAAAAGTTAAGGTTTATTTTTTATCAAAAAAAATTAATAAATATATCAAAATTCATATTTTTTGGTACTCTTTAAACATATATTCATATTGATGTTTTTAAAAAAAATCGAAATTTCAGTTCAGATTCACATTGTGAATCTGCTCAGATTTACAGTGTAAATAATAGTAAGTCAGATTCACATTGTGAATTCTAAAAACTAAATTATATACAGTTCAGATTCACAATGTGAATAAATTCATTTGTTGATTTTATAAAACTAATTTACGAGTAATCAAAACATTAAAATATTATAAAACTATATAGAAATATATTTCGATTCATATGTAAATTTCACTAAATTTGTGAATGATTAAAGAGTTGAAATAGTAAATCAGATTCACATTATAAATGTTAAAATTGAAATATTTACATAATACATTCACAATAAATTTGAAATGATCGAGGTTTTTTTTAATCGATGATGATGTTTATTAATAGAGAACAAAAAATTAAGATTTTTGGTATAATTAGTTTTATTTGGATAAAAATAAACTTAAATATTGAAAATAAAAAACAAAAAACGAAGTAAGTTTTTTTCGAAAAAAACAATTGTTTTTTATATATCAATATGGATCTCTATAGAAAGAGAACGAAAAATCTTGAACAACGGTATATTCGGTTTTTTTTCGATAAAAACATGGCATAGAAAAATTATAAACGAAAAAAGATGTGAGTTTTTTTTGGTAAATATGTGAGTTTTATGGTATAAGTTGGTGTATGTGTATCCAATGTACAAGTGTACATCCATTCCTTTGGCCGTTGATCATTATGATTTTCAATGCTTACAGTTGATTTCGTGATTTCTTGTTAATAATGGTTATCTATTGAACCTCACACATGATCATTTGTATATTGTTATATTTAAAGTTTAAAGCAGAGAAAGATTAAAATTGTTATTTTTAGATAAGAATGATAGACTTACAAATGCTTCCTATGTTTCATATAAAAAAGTGTTTTGAAATTTATAAAGAAATAATATATTTTTTTGTTTGTTTATAACATCTTTTATTTATTATTGTAATACATATTTATTCATCATTTTTAGTTATAATTTGTTTTTTCATTTTGCATTCATGTATATTTCTTACATTACCTTATTTTAGGATTTTAAATAAACAATGATATTACCATGTATGTTTCTTTTGGTTTTTTTCAATCTATTAAATTTTATATTTAATTGTACAGTACGCTGATTTTATAATTAATCTCGAGTTAAAGAATATCAATGATGTTTTGAAACTATTTTAGATATTAATTAAAAATAACTGTTTGTAAATTTATGATTAATGATTATGGTTTTGTATAGTCTTTATGTTATTCTATTTTGTAAATCGTATAATACATGAGTTATAATCTAATATTAAATATTTAACAAGACGCAAATATATATGAATCATCTTTTTCCAAAGGCAAGCTTCACATATCCTTGGAAAATGAACCCGAGTGTATTCCTTCCGATATGCCTGCAAATTTTGTTTCCAGACTACTAGAAAACAAAGGCTTTTGCTACAGAAAAATAGCCACGGAAAATTTTCGTAGGTAATAACCTACACAATACCTACGGAATACCTACGAAATGAGATGCCCTAATTTAGTAACGGAATAGCTACAAAATAGCTACCGAACAGTTACAGACGAAAATCCGTAGGTATTCCGTTAATAATTAGCTACAAAATTGTTGCGGAATAGCGACAAAACTAAATCCGTAGGTATTCCGTAGGTAATTCGCTACACAATAGCTACGGACTACCGACGGAAGAGAATAACTACAGAATAGCTACAAAATAGCTGCGAAATAGAATTATATTATTATTATTATTATTTTTATTGTTATTATTATTATTATTTCCATTATTATTATTATTATTATTATGTTTCATTATTTGAGTCTTAAAACTTTTTTTTATCATTTTGTTTTTACATGTTCAAAACACAAACAATTAAAAAAAACGACATTTGACCATTGAAAAATAGAAAAATAAAAAAAACCGTAGGTAATCTGTAGGTAAATACCTACGGATTACCTTTATCTGTAGGTAATCCGTAGGTATTTACCTACAAAATACCTACGGTCTTTTCTTATTTTTCTATTTTTTAAGGGTTAAATGTTGTTTTTTTCGTTTTATTTTTTTCACAACTTAATTATACTTTGATTGCTTTGTTTTCAACGAGTTATACATAACATAAACTTACATACAAACGTATGCACCATTAGAACCCATTACTCATTTATATCTATTTTTTTTATATAAATCGAATTTATTTTCTATACACAAATACAAATAAGTACATACATTTACATACACACCATATGTATGTATGTATTATGTTTAGTATATCATGTATTTGTTTAATGATGTTAATTGTAGCTTAAGAACAAACATAGATAGTTTTTTGTTTATTATTTATATAGTAGTGAGTTCTAATGATGCATACGTTTGTATGTAAGCTTATGTTATACATAACTTGGTTAAAACAAAGAAATGAAAGTATAATGAAGTTGTGAAAAAAATGAAACGAAAAAAAAACGACATTTGAGCATTGAAAAATAGAAAAATAAAAAAAACTGTAGGTAATCTGTAGGTAAATACCTACGGATTACCTTTATCTGTAGGTAATCCGTAGGTATTTACCTACAGATTACCTACGGGCTTTTCTTATTTTTGTATTTTTTTAACGGTTAAATGTCGTTTTTTTCGTTTTATTTTTTTCACAACTTAATTATACTTTGATTGCTTTGTTTTCACCGAGTTATACCTAACATAAACTTACATACAAACGTATGCACCATTAGAATCCATTACTCATTTATAACTATTTTTTTATATAAATCGAATTTATTTTCTGTACACAAATACAAATAAGTACACACATTTACATACACACCATACGTATGTATGTGTTATGTTTAGTATATCATGTATTTGTTTAATGATGTTAATTGTAGCTTAAGAACAAACATAGATAGTTTTTTGTTTATTATGTATATAGTAGTGGGTTCTGATGATGCATACGTTTGTATGTAAGCTTATGTTATATATAACTTTGTTAAAACAAAGCAATCAAAGTATAATGAAGTTGTGAAAAAAATAAAACGAAAAAAACGATAGTTGACCCTTGAAAAATAGAAAAATAAAAAAAACTGTAGGTAATCTGTAGGTAAATACCTACGGATTACCTACTGATTACCTTTATCTGTAGGTAATCCGTAGGTATTTACCTACAGAATACCTACGGTCTTTTCTTATTTTTCTATTTTTTAAGGGTTAAATGTCGTTTTTTCGTTTTATTTTTTTCACAACTTAATTATACTTTGATTGCTTTGTTTTCATCGAGTTATACATCACATAAACTTACATACAAACGTAGGCACCATTAGAACCCATTACTCATTTAGAACTTTTTTTTATATAAATCGAAGTTATTTTCTATACACACATACAAATAAGTACATACATTTACATACACACCATATGTATGTATGTATTATGTTTAGTATATCATGTATTTGTTTAATGATGTTAATTGTAGCTTAAGAACAAACATAGATAGCTTTTTGTTTATTATGTATATAGTAGTGGGTTGTAATGATGTATACGTTTGTATGTAAGCTTATGTTATATATAACTTGGTTTAAACAAAGCAATGAAAGTATTATGAAATTGTGAAAAAAATGAAACAAAAAAAAAACGATATTTGACCATTGAAAAATAGAAAAATAAAAAAGCCGTAAGTAATCTGTAGGTAAATACCTACGGATTACCTACAAATTACATTTATCTGTAGGTAATCCGTAGGTATTTACCTACAGATTACCTACGGTCTTTTTTTTTCTATTTTTTAAAGGTCAAATGTCGTTTTATTTTTTTTCACAACATAATTATATTTTGATTGTTTTGTTTTCGCCGAGTTATACGTTTGTATGTAAGTTTATGTTATGTATAACTTGGTGTAAACAAAGCAAATATATTTTCCAAATTAAATGTGATTTGTTTTTTATATATTTACAAATTTTATAGTAAATATTAAAGTTTAATAAATTTAAATTTTAGTAAATACTATATTGATGATATTATATTCAATTACTCGATTGAAGTTATATTTTTATAATGAATCAAAAGGGTAAGATATATAATTAAAAAAAAAAGAATATGTATACACTATATTAATTATATTGAAAAAAAAAACATAGCTCATAATATTCAAATTATATTTCAATGGTAGTAATAATTTCTGATGGTTTGATAAAAAAAAAGAATATTTAATTATAATACATCAATTTGCCAATTTGTTGATACCTACAAAATTCCTACGATTTCCTTATACCTTCAGAATTGCTACGCGCCACGCCTCCTAAAACCCAAATTCCCGCTTCACTGATTGTGCATCTGGCTCGTCGATCAAACTTACCCAAACAAAACCCTAGCTTACACCGGCGATTTCCGAACCCTGCTGCAGCACACATGCGCCGGTGATTCTCGACTGATACCTACATCGGCAACATTTTCAGGTAACCAATTCAACTTCTGCGATTTCCAAACGATCGATCGACGACCCACATTGACCAAACTGTTGCAGGTTTGCCCTCCAACCATCGTTTTCGTACACCACCGCCGACGCTGCCCCGTACTACCACCGTCGCTGCACCATACCACCACCATCGCTGCCCCACACCACCATCGGCGACACCCCAGGTATGTATTTCGATTTCAGTTTGCTCACATTTCACAAGATTTCAAATTTTCAGAAATCTAGTTTGTGTGTGTTGTAAACATACTGTTGCATCAATTCTCTGTTAAATAAGTTCTATGGATGAAATTTTATCTTCAATTAAGGTTGCATATCTTGTATATTTTAAATGTTGGTTTATTTTGGTGTTTGGTCAATACTAAACAATAAACATACTATTGCATCAACATATTGCAAGGAGTTTTGACCAAAAACATCAATTATTCTAGTCTTGCATGATAGGAAAGGGGTATTAATCATGGGAATACCAGCAAATAAAAGGCATGTTTGGTAGTGAAAGGGCAACTTGGGTATTTTAGCTTTTAAATCTGCTAGATAAGGATTATCTAGTAATTTTCTGTCTCTGGGTAATTTGCACAGGACCATTTTTGCAGTTTGCTGTTTTCATAAATATCCCAATAATTGTTCAGTTTTCAATTTTTCATCTATAAAAAAGGCTTATTTGTATTACATAGAGAGCATACAAGTGTCTACAAATGGGGATAGAAAAAGGATAAATACAAATGGAGTAAATAGAACCTAGCAGTTTCATTTCAATTAGTGATTAAAACTTTCATGTTCTTGTCTTCAATTTGTGTATTGCATAGAGAAAAAAGGATAAATGCAAATGGAGTTAAAAGAAAAAGGATAAATGCAAATGGGGATAAAAGAAAAAGGATAAATGCAAATGGAGTTAAAAGAACTTTCATGTTCCTGTTTTCAACTTTTTTACAAACTCACTGTCCAATTTGATAATTTGTTATACTTAAACGATCATGAAATTAATAAATGATGAAATAAATAAAGTAAACACTTCGAGCACAAGTAAAATGGTGCATGAAAAATAATTTGGGTCGGTTAGTTTGTGATTGTGTATGTTGTTTTAAAAAATTAGCATTTGGAACTGTAGCTAAGGCTTCATCGAAAACAGAGGAAACAGGGAGAGATATGACAGCAAAAATTGTTTCATATTAAATAAAATGAACAGCTACGTGCATTAGAGACAGAGAGACACTTTGTGTATTAGGTGTTTTTTATAATAAAAGAAAAATAGTTAAAAATATAGGGTTAATGGTATTGTTTTTTAACAATCACAATGCCGCTGCTAGTTTGCTACTTTTTTTAAAATATAAATAATAGGACTTCAAAGGGTAAAAGGAAATCTAATGGGACATAGCTTCAAATTTTTACAACGGTGACTCAAAATTTCAACAAACATTTCTAGGAGTAATTTTTTATATTATTTTGCTAGTTGATTTAATATTTTGACATCAACTTTTTAATATATTTTTTTTTTGAAAACAACACATATAATATTTTGCCATTATTAATATTAGGTCAAGTGCATTGCAATTATGGTTGAAAATGATACTATGTTGCTATTATTAAATTAGGTAAAACATAATGCTATAATGGGTGAAACTTATAGTATGTTGCTATTATTGATATTAGGTAAATTAAGTTATTGTTATTGATAATAATTTAAATACATTGATATTATGGATTTGAAATGTAAAGTACAATGATATAATGGATAAAAATATAGTATGTTATTATTATGCATATTAAAAGTTATTATTATGGATATTAAAAACAATGTACATTGTTATTATGAGTAGTGTGTTCTTATATTGAATTAAAAATAAAGTACATTGCTATCATGGTTTAAAGTTGAATTACAATTACTAACTGCATGTGTTTGTCTTGCTATTTTTAGGTAAATGAGTTGTGACAACAAGTGTCAAACATGCAACAAGCCAAGGATGAAAAGCAAAGTCAAATGGATTTGCAAATGCAACAAATGCGAAATGAAATGGAATTGCAAGTGCAATGACAATTGACGGACTTTTTGAAACAAATCAATCCGTCCGGTAATCCACCAGGTAGTTCTTAGTTTTTGTTTTAAAACACTTGATCAATGTTATGTTATTAACTAGTTCTTAGCTTTTGTCATGGTGTTGTAATGGTATTTTGAGTATTTGAATGTATGAATGGTATGTTAATGACTATTTTAATGTTAATGAATGTAATGATATTTGACTATTATTTTAATTATATTTTTGGTTTTTTTAGCAGAAATTTTGGATATTTTTTAAATTATAAATTTAATATAGCAATAGATTTTTGACTAAGTTGTAGGTATTATAAATTTAATATAGCAATAAAAACCGGTAAAAAATCATATAAAATTTGTAGGAAATAAATATTCTGTAGGTATTTTGTAGGAAATAAAATACAATAAAGTCTGTAGGTAATCTGTAGCAAAAGCGGTTGGTAGGTATTCCGTAGGAAAAGATGTTGGTAGGTATTCTGTAGGAAGAGTAGTTGGTAGGCATTCTGTAGGAAAATAAGTTTGTAGGTATCCTGTAGGAAAAATCAGTTTGTAGGTATTCTGTAGGAAAATAATCCGTATGTATTTTGTAGGTGTTTCGTAGGTAAATAATCCGTAGGTAATCTGTAGGTACTCCGTAGTTAACGTATTCCGTAGTTAAATTTGTAACAGAATATTCCGTAGGAAATGCGTAGGAAGGTTTGTAGCTAATTTGTAGGAAAAAATTACCCACGAGGGTTTTGCCTACAACTCGTTTTTTGTAGGAAATCTGTAGGTAACCCCTTGTTCCTACGGATTTCCTACCAATATTGTTGTAGGTAATTACTTAGTTTTCTAGTAGTGCACTCATTACATTTTATTAGCCTTGAAACGCCCTGGTAGATCCGTGTATATCATTGATGACTAACTTCCTAATGTTTCTACTTGTTTGAAATTTCCAACACCATTTAAATAGAAAATCTTTATTTATAGCAAACAAGATACCCACATGTAATCTGCCTTGTCTCTCCTAACTCTATTCCACTTAATCCACAACATTTTTCGATTGTTGTAATATCCTTATAAAAAAAAGTCTTATAAATTCCTTCGAGAGTTTTTTTTGGATAAAAGGGGAAACCCCTTGGCAAATTTTATTAAAAGAAAAAAAACAATACAAAGGAAGGAGGGCAACCACCCAAAAAAACTAACTACAAGATAAGAAAACAAACCTAACTAACAAACTAAAACAAGCTACCAACTAGAGAAATTAAAAATTACAAAGAGACCTATCTAAACACCACCAACTAATTCAAGCCCAAATTCAATTCCAAGGAATGGAGTGAAACCAAAAGTAGCTCACTAATAAAAAATCAATGAGCCCATGAGCCACAATCTTTAATCTCCAAGAATCTTCCATATCTTGAATCTTCAAGATGTACTTCAAATTCAAGTAAAGCAAAAATAAAATTTTGGCCTCATACTCGAAAAAATACTCCATGGCATGAAAAATAAATCTAATGTCACAAGGCAACCAAAGGACTTCCAAATTGTGAGAATCATCGGCCAACACCATCAAATCTTCACGAACTTCCGAAACAATCCAATCCAAACTAATTCCAAAAACAGCAACCAACTTCCTTTGAACTTTAGAGTTCTTGAAATCCTCCCCTTTGTTCTTCAAAAATCTTCTATTAAAACCCAATCCATTCTTGACCGAAGACAACCACAACCTCAAAATAACAATACATTTATACAACAAGCCCCCAAGTTGACCGAAACTATCTTTAGATCCAAAAGCATTAATCTCCCTTTCAACATCTTCTTTCAACAAAAAATGAACTTCAAGCGCCATGAAAGAAAAATGCAAAATCCGGGAAAATCACAAAAACTTCTAATCTTCCAAATGATCTTCAAATTAGCTCCATCAACATATTTGACAAATTTACCCCAAAGAGTCTTCAAATAAGCAACCAAGCAAGTATCCAACCAATCTCCAAAGTAGCCAACTTTTGAAAAGCATTGAATCTTTTTTTGGACCAACTATTAGCAAAATTCGAACCCTTGAGCAAATGAGAACCAATATTTTTAAGGTCAAAAATATTAAACCAACCAACTATCTTCTTTGGAGTCGAACCAAAGAAATAAATACTATCAATTCGAATTTGATTGGAAAAATTCCAAAAATACCCTTGAAAGGTAAACCAACTATCTTCGGGATTTGAACCCTTGGGGAAAAAAATGCCAAAATTTTTATGGTCAAAAATATAAAACCGAACAAATATCTTCCTTGGAGTCGAACCAAAGAAATAAATCCCATCAATTCCTTTTTTATTAAGGTATTTCCAGAAATACCCCTGAAGGTTAATTCCAAAAAAATTGCAATTAGAGCCTTCAATATCCACATCAAAGGAATAAATTCCAATGATAACCGGGATGAACCGATTGGCAAAAGTTTTAAGGTAAAACCAAAAGATCAAAAGTGGTTATTTTTATCAGAAAAAAGGAAATAACCAACCCAAAAGTAGTACAGTCTAAGGATGACGTACTCGAGCCTGTGTATTGTCGGGTGAATATCCCACCACTTGCTAATGGAAATAGGAGTGGCAACCACAAACGTGGAGATTCCTAGTTTCCTAGGAAGAAAACTACGAATAATGGGGATAAAACCCATTTGCATTAAAATGAGAACCACTTCAAAAGGAAAATACCTTAAGAAAGTCGGGATAAAATCGACATGCAAAGCAATTTTAGAATGAAAAATGCTAAACCATTTGTCGTCAATTCCTTTTATTATAAAGATATTCAAAGAATATACAACAAACCTAAATCCAAAATAAATTGAATTAGATCCCTTAATTTCCACATCAAATGATAAAAATCCAATGATATCCGGGATAAACCGGACATCAAAAATCTTAAGGAAAACCCAAAAGATCAACAAGTGATTGTTATTATTATAAAAAATGAAACAACCAACCCCAAAGTAGTAGGATGACGTACTCAAGCCCGTGTATTGTCGGGTAAATATCCCACCACCTGTAGTCACTCATCTTTCCACGCGTATCGATTTTGGGAACCAAAGCAATGGCTGTAGCATTAATCTCTTTGAGAATCGCCCCATTCACAAAAAACTCTTTAACAGCTTGACAGAAGTCTTCACCAATGATGGACCACATGGATTTGAAAATTTTAGCAGAATAACCATCCGGACCAGGGGCCTTGTCATCATCTATGTCAAACATGGCATTTTTAATTTCTTCATTGGTGACAATTTGAACCATCTCAACCGCCTGAGAAAGATCAAGCTTTTTAACAAATAGAGAATTCGGCTGTAAAATCTCCCCACAAGGAAACTCAATTTCGAGAAAATCACTGAAATAATCAACAAATTCTTTATACACTTCTTCTTCTTCAACCCAAACCCCTTCACTGTTTAAAATAGTTTCAATTCTGTTTTTATTTCTTTTCCCTTTGACAATTTTATGAAAATATTTAGAGTTACAGCCACCCTCTCTAAGCCAATGAACTCTGGCCTTCTGTCTTATAAATCTTTCCTCCTCATCATAAGCCTTTTTATACTCTCTAATAAACATAGCCTCCAGTTCACGAAGTTGAGGATTAAACGAATCCAGATCCAAATCAGATTGAATAGCCTCAAGCTCTTTGCGAAAATGATCAACCTTCTCTGAAAAATGCCCTTGCTCCCTTAACAGTTTACGAATTCGTTTTTTTAGCATTTTGAGTTTTTGAGTAAACTGGAACATTTTATAACCTCGTATTTCACAATTCCATTGCTCTTCAATCAGAACCTTCAACTCAGAAGAAAGAGTAAGGACATTTGGAAATTTAAAAGGTAAAACTTTGAACTTTAACTTCGAAGGCACTTTCACAATAACAGGACAATGGTCTGATAGTCTATAAGGATGGAAAGACGCAAATATAGAAGGAAAGGCTTCAGTTAAGCTATAATTACCCATCATGCGATCAAGCTTCTTCAACAGACCATATTCTCCTCTTGGATTTTGGCTCCAAGTAAAATTTATCCCATTACAGTTAACATCTTGGATCTTAATTTTGTTAACAAACTCAAGAAATTCAACCATGCCTCTGGTGAATCTCGAAGTGCCAGCCGTACTTTCATTGAGTTTTAACGTGACATTAAAATCACCACAATAACCGAAGGATCATTTTTGACTAATATGTTATGATATTCCAAAGAAGACCACAACATTCTTCTTTTAGTGTATTTGTTAGCAGCATACACAAAAGAACAAAAAATAACCTTCTTATTCTCAGGGAAAATAACTTTGCAATGCAGAACTTGATCATTATACTCAATCAAGTTAACATCAAAAAATTTGGGATTCCATCCAATTATTATGCGAGAAGTATTTCCAGAAATACCCCTATTCACAATCCACTTCCAAGAACTAAAAATCTTATCACAATTCTCTTTAAGCTTATTATAATTGACTTGAGATTCAAGAACAACAAACAAACTCAAACTATTGAAATTAATAACATCTTTAATATCTTTTTGTTTAGGGGATTGGTTCATCCCCCTAATATTCCAAAACCCAAAGTTGACCATCATTGGGAATTAGCATCCACTTTGGCATCATACTCTGAGATACCTTCGGTAACTTGCATTTGTTCCACATCATCCAAATAAGACAAATCAACCACACCAACTCCTTCCTTTAAATAACTGAACCGATCATCATCCTCAAGATCATTCAAAGCATCAAATTGATTATTAGAGAACGGAATCACTGGATCAGCTCCTTTTTCATTTTGATGAATCTTATCAAAATTGGAACTAACTTTTAAATCCATCCCCGATTTAGGAACATAAACATAATTATTTTGAGCTTTATGCCTTATATCCGCCTTTGAATTAGTCACCTGATGAAAATTCTTAACCGAAAAACTTTCCATATTACCCTTGTTACTCAAAAACACCCCAGTACCACTTCCTTTTTTATTACTAATGTTACTTTTGATGTTTTGGCCCTTCTCATAAAAAGAAACACCATTACTTCCATAGGATTGCCAATCTTTCCCATTTTGCCCTTCCTTCTAGAGTTTTAATGACAACTATAGTGGTTTTATAGAGTGAGAACCAATACAACCTTGTACTTCCAATAATATATCTAATTAGAGTCAACCGACCCCCATTGAACACATCTTTGTCTTTCCATCTTTTTTTTTTTTTTTTGAATTTTAGTAACCAAAGGTTGCCACACCTCTTTCTTGTTTATAGTATGTCCCACAGGAACACCAAAGAAAAATGAATGAAAACAAAAAGCTTTAAAATTAATAATGCCTGCCATATGTTCAACTTCCATAAAATCGACATCGACCACATATACACAATTTTTTTCAAGATTTAATTAAGGCGAGAAACCATGTAAAATGCCTTCAAAATTCTCACAAAAGACTTCAAAAAATTTATCGACCATTTCCTAATTAGAATAGCATCGCCAACGTAAAAAGATGTACAATATTTTTACTTTATCACCAACAGATCCCCCTTCTATAATACCTTGATTAATCCCCCTTCTATAATAACTTGATTAATCATTCTAGTTAAAGCCACATGGAACCTCTCCATCACCAATATGTGTGGGAATTGAGATAAAGGGTTTCTTGCCATAGACCCATAGTCGTTTTGAACTTACACATTGGGGATTCGTTAACCAAAACATACCTAATATCCAACTTTAGACAAGTTTGAATCCATCTTCTCCATTTTTCTTCGAAACCCATTACCTTGAAGGTATTATCAAGATACCCTGAATTCATGCAGTCGAACGCTTTCTCTATATCTATCTTCAAGACCAAAGTTCTTTTTACTCCATGAAAGAACTTCGTTATGATTTACAGACCACCAAAGATATATTTACTTTTCATTAAGGCCCTTTGAACACTATTCACCACTGATCCAAAAACCATCATTAGCCGATTTGCAAGAGCTTTTTCTATTATTTTATAGATTACACATATAAGACTAATCGGGAGAAACTTGTAAACATACAAAGGGTCATGATATTTCGGAATTGACATTACAAAAGTTACATTACATCGACGACTCAAATTCTTTTATTGCATCAACTATGTCTCCACCAATTAAGTTCTATTTTTTTTTTTTGGAAAAATCAATGGTGAACCTATCGAGTCCTGGGGACTTCTGTATACCACAACTCCAAACAACGAATTTAATTTCATCTTCCGAGAACGGACCCTCCAGTTACATGAATTTTGACATAATATTTGGTAATAGTTCTTGAAAAGCAATGAGAGAAGTATCATTTGAGGTAAGATGGATAAAATTAATGTTATGAGTGTTATATATTTATAAAATTATATAATTAACAAAAACGGATACAACAGAGAAAAGGGCTGAGGTGTCTACGGGTAAATATCAACTAAAAGGGAGGATACAATCATATGCTCAATATACATTACTATTGCATTCTTGAAATGTTAGAAGTCATGCCGTGTATACTTAGCCTTAATTATCTTTTCAGGTGCTTTAAAATTCCCTTCCAACCCTCTTTTAGACTTACTTACTTAGCTCCTTGGCAACATGATAGTCAAGTGCAAGCACAAGTTATTAACCTCATAACACTACATCACCTTCTAGTATACTCATATATGGTTACAAACGCATAGTGAGGTTCAAAATTATACCGTTTTACAATATACATCTATTTGAGTTATGTTTTATTTATAATCGTATTTGCTAAAATAAAACAAATGTTTGTGATCATCTAAATTATAGCTCTAATGCATAGAGCCTCTTAAATTCTTTAATTTAAAAATATTGTATTAAAATTGTAATATTGTTTAACCCCTTAACCAATTCAACTGACTCACTTATTGTATTACTTTTCATAATCTTCTTTATCTAACATGAGGAAAATATTATGTGAAAACAATTCTTTTTGTGGGAAACACAAACATGTGTTGAACCGAACTCTTTAATAAGAAACAATACTTTTTGTTATGACCACTCAAGAGGAAATTTCAATTTCAAGGCCAAGTGTTTAAGGACTCACACCACATTGTTAATTTAGGACTTCACTCTTTTAGTTCACTTTTTTAGAGACTACTACTCTTTGATTTCCAAACACGTGTTGAACCCAACTCTTTAATAAGAAACAATACTTTTTATTATGACCACTCAAGAGGAAATTTCAATTTTAAGGCCAAGTGTTTAAGGACTCACACCACATTATTAATTTAGGACTTCACTCTTTTAGTTCACTTTTTTAGAGACTACTACTCTTTGATTTCTTGGATTGTTGGAGCAAATGAGCTCCTTACCTATTTTGTAGCCTTCCACTTCTTTAGTAAAAGGTTCTAGATTTTTCTAATAACTTAGTATATACAAGTTTTTTTCTAGAATGTTCAATATAATACTATAGAAATGTCTACAAGGCTACATATGTTTCTATGAAGGCCTAGAAAATTCTAGTCAAGCCTTCTATGACATTTTAGAATCTTCCATGTCTTCTAGGACGTTTAAGAATCTCCATGTCTCTTCTAAAACGTTTTGGAATCCTCCACTGACATTTTAAAACATTATAACTAGGCCTGGCAATTGGGTTGGGTTCGGGTTGGCGGGTCAGAAAACATAAACTCAACCCAACCCATATAATATATGGGTTGACGGGTTGGCGGGTCACGGGTTGGTGGGTTGGAAACCTCAACCCAACCCAACCCATATAACCCGTTTAAGTATATGGGTTTGCGGGTTCACAAGTTAATGGGTCAAACCCAACCCATATAACATGTTTAATAAATAAACAACACATTTTAAAAAATGAGGTTTTTTCAACATAAATTCATAAAATGATTAAAGTAAGTAACATAAAAAAAGGGTTTTCAACATAAATTCATAAATTAAATAACATCCAAATAAAAATGAATTAATGAAAACATTCATAGAAAGTGGATGTGTTCTTCGTTCGTGACTCGTGAAAATAACGACATGTATTTTTTCTGATTAACGAACCACAAATGCAGATAGTCACATACAAATAAGGAAGGAATATAATGATACAGAATATTACGAATACGGATGGAAATAAAATTTCATTAATAATTAAATAGATCATATATATATATATATATATATATATATATATATATATATATATATATATATATACACGAGTTGGCGGGTTGACCCGCGAACCCAAACAGATAACCCAACCCTACCCATGAAATAAACGGGTTGGTGGGTTGGCGGGTCAAAATTTTCAATTCAAACCCGTCTATTTTCGGGTTGGGTCGAGAGTTGCCACCCCTAATTATAACATCTTATAGATCATGGGCTTCTACTCAAAATGGGCTAATTAGACTTCTTGATAATTCAGCTTTCACAGTTGTTGGGACAGTTGGGGTACACTTACGTTGGACATCTTTTGATGTCACAGTATTTTGTGAACTAATCCCACAAAAATCTACATGAATGTCCGATAACAAGAATAAACGGTTGGTAGTTATCATTTAACTCAATTTTCAAATACGATGCATGCATATTGTCCATAACATTTGAAATCCAATTGGTTAATTATCTTTCACAACTAAAATTTATAAATATAAACCACTAATTGATACTTATAATATTATGCATTACAAGTTATAGTCGAATGGAAGGGATTGCTCGATTTCACCAGAATAGCAAACATGATGGCTGGAATTTGCCTCTTTGAAAGCATTTGTCTCGAGTACATGTTGCTCACAAGCTTTCGGTTTGTTTTGACCCCTGTATGCATTGCAGATGTATGCAACAAAATTCTGGTAGTCCTGTAGTATCATTTCTACTTATGTTAGTATACTATATCATACTATCATGCATGATCACATTTACTTGTTTAATAAATTTGATTGATAATTACATAGTCTTCGACATGCTATTATATGACTCTAGCATTATACATTTTCATAGTAATTTAATGGCTTAGCTTGGGACCCTTTTTTTGTATGTTGTATTAGATCCATGTATTTCAAGTATCATCAAATAAGCACTCTCTCATAACGAGAGTATTGTCAAGAACATCCACAATTCAATTTAATGAATGGTTGAATGAGGTGAAATATATAATTGACATTTAATGGATTAATCTCAATCATAATATGATGCCAAGTGAGCACTCAATAGATTTGAAGTTCAATGAACATTGAAGTATTGAACTTTCAATGGGAAAAAAATTACTAACATTTTTCTTAATTTCTAAAATATGTTCAATTGAATGTAGAGTTCAACGTATTGTATTAAATGATAAATTTGTATGAAAACTGAAATAGTGATGTGACAATCTATTACACTTTATAGAATTCAAGGAGAGAGAGAGAGAGAGAGAGAGAGAGAGAGAGAGAGAGAGAGAGAGAGAGAGAGAGAGAGACCTCTTGAAGTGGTTTATCATTGACAAGAAGCCATGGGACAAATCTGTGAGGAGGGTTGAGATGGTTTGTCTCATCAGCAAATTTTAGTTCAAGCTGGCATCACATGATCAAAACATGAATGTATTGTATTGTATGATATTAGTAGATGATTTGTAATTTCAATTCTAATTAACCACCGATATCTAGAGTGCAAATTGATTCTAGTTCAATAGTTAATTTTTTTAGAACCGGCAAACTAACATATTCCTAAAAACCAAATATGTCTCCTAATGAGATTTGAACCCATGACTTTTCATTTGAGAATCCGCTAGGCCAAAGACTCTTTGATTACTAGTACAATATTTATTTATTTATATTGTTTGACACTAGACAAACAATATCGCCTAAATTGTAGTTGTTTAAGTGATTAGAGTTTTTCAAAACATTAAAAGTACATTTCCAAACCAATTATCGTGTATAATCTATTGAAATTACCAAAAGTGCATAATATTTTAATTTGTTTTTTTTTTCTTATTACAACACTAAATTTTAAAAAATATATCCAAATATAGCAAAGTCATCCAAACGGAAACTAACTTGTATCTATATGATTATATAGATTTCTCAAAATATAATGTCATAACAAAAAAGATTAGAAGTACAATGTTATAACTAAATATTATTTTGATTAAAAAAAAACTTATACATAATGGTAACAAAACATAAAAGAAAAATATATAATACATAAATAAATAAACAATATGATACTAGCTATTGTTAATCATTTTTAAGTACTATTTTGTCCATATTTTTTAAATGTTGGAAAATGCATTCAAAGTCACATGTTGAAGTTAAAAGTTTAAAAGGTAACGCACAAAGTAAAATGGTGAAGCATGGGAATGGAAGTACTTACATCAACACCTTTTCTACTTTGGTAACAATCCGTGATGGGTTGTGGGTGAATTTTGAGTGAATTCATACAAGATTTCCATTCACCATGTTTTCCTTGCAAATTCAATTCTTCAATACACTTGATCATTTCAAACCATAGTCCCTATATACAAAATTCATTTATGAAACAAGTATAAGTGTATAAACGAGGTCTCACATTTAAATTATAGACATTCAAGTCAAAGTCAAGGGTGTGGTTTATGAGGGTTAAGACCATATTTGACAAATTAGCTGAAAAACTAGTTTTTAGCTGAAAAATAGGTGGTAGTTAATTAGCTAGCTTATGAATTAATATTGACTTGTAAACAGTAGTTTATAAGCTAAATTGCAATGTAAAATGACATAAATAGACATTTACATGTATAACTAAAAAAAAATAAATAAATAAATAAAATTAAGGACATATTTAAAATATTTATGAAAAAACTCCATAATCTTTGTCAAAAACTATCTCAAATTAGTTTATCAAAGCTGACTTATAAGCTAGTTCATAAGTTAAAATAAATTAGTTTTGTGATTTTACCAAACAACAAATTATAATAAGCTAGCTTATTTGCCAAAGAGGACTAAATGTTCATACTAACAACGGGGTCATTTAGCATTTTCGACAATTTAATGACTTTTATATATAATAGTAACATACTTTAATCTTCATCTATTTCATACAAAGTAATTTTGGCATTAAAATTTGTCAAAAGTTTTCAATGTTGAATGTGGTGAATAAAAAAGGCATATGGTCTAAAATGCACATAAGCCGTTCGAATTAGCTTAAAGTGTGTCAAATATATTTATGTATTTAACCATATCTAAAATAATTGACTCATTTTGAAACATTAGATAATTATTTGACTTTAATTTATATATTTGAACACATTATAAAACCCTTTCTTTAAATCATATATCAAATAATTGTCAAATGGAATATTTCTTTTTATGTTCATATAAATATTTGGTTACTATTTACTAGATAATTATTTGGAATATATAATCACATGTAGTAGATGCTTTAAATATCTTTTAATGACAAGAATTTTAGTCATGAAAAAATAAAAAGATTTGTGCATGAAAATGAATATATTCACAGATTTTTAGCGTTAAAATGCGGATGAAAAAACTCAAAAAAGTAATGATACAATATATTCTTCATTCCAACATTGTATTCGATCATTTTATTGATATGCATGTATTTTCTTGAGACCCATAAATTATATAAACAATGAAATAAAAAAAGAGAGCTTAAATCATACCGAGTGAGGCAACAAGTCGATTGCACAAGCCTCCACCATATCAATCAAACATTCATCAGGGCCATGCTGCAAAATAAGTAACATGAATACATGATCAGTGGAATTTCACAGAATAATTATTTATAAAAAACACAAATAAACGTAAAAAACTTTTATCGCTTTAACAATATCTTATAACTTCAACTCTTCAAACCACTTAATAAATGTATTCAACTATTTCTCTGCAATAACAATTAAATTAGAACTATACCGTGTGTATCACACAAAACACAAGCAGTAATTATGACACGACATACAAGATATTTCATTTTCCAACATATATAAATCGAAAGATCCAAAGCATTAACAACAACACAGTGACGAGTACTTCTTGCAATAAAGGTTGTACTTTACCTGGCAAATCCAAGCATTGTTAGGAGCAAATTGAGTATTACCCCAAGGTATCATCCTAAGATCTACAATGGAGACGAGGTTTCCTTCATACAAAGCTTTACCCAGTTGATTCACAATGAAGTTTGCACAATATGGGCATAAAGATTCATAGTATAATGAGACCTTCACTTTATCTTCAACACCATATGATTTTGCCATTGCCATCAAGAAGATCAACACTACCATCTTATGCCAAGAAGCCATTGCTTTTCTTTGATGTTTTTGACACTGTTTGTATACAAGAAATGGGTATCCGATCTCATCTTTTTATACAAGTGGGTATCACTTTCTTACATATTTTACTTTCTTGGGCCAAACCCTTTTCTGGATATGGAAATAAAAGTACAATACAATTTGCAACTTTTATAGGCAGTGTATAAATATTTATTCCACAGTTGTGTTAATGTGGTCATTTTTGTGGGTAAATTTCTTTCAAGGGCTAATGGGATTTGTAACTTTTGAAGTTTGACGCGGAGTTTTAAATACGCGCCATAACTTTTATAGCACTTTATAACTTACTATAGTATTAAAGAATAGTTATGTCGCATATTTAATACGCGCCCTGATGTTTATAACGCTTTTGTTATGCATTTATTTATGGTTTTTATATAATCTTAAATAGTTACGTTCCATATGTAATAATAATAGTTTATAATTCAAAAATTATATACATTTTTATAAGGATGCATTGATGAGCTAGAAATTTTATGTCCATAACATTAAATTAAAAGTATGATTTGGTAGTTGAGTGGTTACCCTCATTTACTTTTCAACTTGTTTCTCAAAAGAGTAGGATAAAATGATATCTAAAATACACTAATTTCTGTTTATAGAAGGTATATACTAGCCGTTATCCGTGTTAAGCGACGGATGCGAATAGTTTACATCTAAACAATTATAAAAAAAAATCATGCTAGCAAAAACAAAATCAATAAGAATTAAAAATGAAAAGTTGGAATTTTTTACAAATATACATGAACACATGATTAAACTAAATAGCTTTGACAATTTATAAATGATAAATTTTACTCGAAAGATAGTCATACAACCAGCCAAAAAATAATTGACTACTCAAGTCAAAAATGAGGTCGACCATTTGACTTCTAGCCTAGCACAAATGAAAACAACCCAATGCTTACCGAACATATAATAATATTTCCATTTGTCTCAAGAATCTGAAAAAGACAGAAACAATGAAAGTAAGATGCAATTTATTAAAAAAAAAGAGAGAGATTAGTTTTTTTTCACAAATAATTTACTACATCTAAACAATTATAAAAAAATCATGCTAGAAAAAACGAAATCAATAAGAATTAGAAATGAAAAGTTGTAATTTTTTACAAATGTACATGAACACATGATTCAACTAAATAGCATTGACAATTTATAAATGATAAATTTTACTCGAAAGATAGTCATACAACCAGCCAAAAAAGAATTGACTACTCAAGTCCAAAATGAGGTCGACCATTTGACGTCTAGTCTGGTCACAAATGAAAACAACCCAATGTTTACCGAACATATAATAATATTTTCATTTGTCTCAAGAATCTGAAAAAGACAGAAACAATGAAAGTAAGATGCAATTAATTAGAGAGAGAGAGAGTAACACAAGGTACAATTCTATATATAAAAACCACTTTACAATTGAATTTTTATTTTTGCCAATTAAAATGCATCCTCCATTCGAAGTGTTATTAAAAAAAAGATAGCCACACCCCTCAATCCACATACTTTTAATTGTCGAACATAGCAGGCAAAATAGTTGGAATCTGAATATAATATCTTATTGCCGAAATCCCCCAAGAAAACCTATCAATTGCATTGTGAACTTACCTAATTGTGATTTGTTAAACAAAACAGTGATCAAGTACTGAAAATCACATTTCAGAAATGACTCGCTAAAGAAAATAGAAGATTATAAATAGTTGATTTCCTTTTCAAACAATAACTAGGTCTTGCAAGTTCTATAATCCTAACAGTTCCTCGGACAGAACTTACCTGAAACACCATCAAACCCTTCAAGAGTAAGGAAATAGAAATATGGTCATATATATTTATAAATATAGATATTTATAAGTAAACTTATTTCATTTTAACGTATAAGTGGGCTTTCTCCGACTTCCTACTAGGAACATGACATACACTTCATACTCATCATGTCAACAATAATTGTGGTGTCCATGGTTTTACCATAAATGTTCAACTTTTATTAGCTTTTATCAATTGAAATGCATAAAAAGAGAGATAAATGCAAGTATGCAGTATAAATAGACATATTCTAATAGCATAGCGGTAAATACTTGTATGAAATTGTCTGTCATATGTTTAGATTTAAAAAAAATGGATTTTCTTTGGTTAGTGGCTATATAATAATAATAATAATAATAATAAATCATAATAATAATAATAAGTAATTCAAATACATATAGACATGACCGAATCTAATGAGAGGATTCATTATTAACACCATTAAGTCGGGTTTGACTGCATAGAAAACTATAGGCTTCAACGGTGCAATTAACATTCTTCTCTATCCTAAGTATCCACCACATTGCCACCCACTTCATGTGTGTTGATGTATACTTACAACAAAAGTTCTATGTCTAGTCATAAGAAAAACATATCGTTGTACATCAAAGTATAACGATGTAATAAGAAATACAATTCCATGTTTATTAGGCCCATGACATGTAACATGTGTGTAACACCCATTTCCCGGAACAGGTCGGTTAAAGGTCTTGATGGGTCAAAGGTAAAGTTTTTGGGAAAAATATTATGACATGACGTGGTGAAAGGAGCACCACGACGTGGCATGTGAAATGGATGAATCGCATATCTGATGTTTTCCACGACGTGGCAGTTGTTGCAACCCAAGCCCATGATATTTTAGGGTTTCCTCCATATTTAAGCCCCTAAACTCAAGTTTCAGGGCATCCTCCTCAACCTCCATCCCTTACAAACAAAACCCTAGCCTCCATGAAGCTATGAAGGCTTGATTTCTTGATTTAGAGCTTAATCTTTGGATTTTGGGTAAAGCTTGAGAAAGGAGAAGTCCATCTTGGTCCAAGGGACCAAGGAGGGAACTCTGATCCACTATATTCTTCAAAATTTTGAGTGTTTGAAGTTATAAAGCTCTCATCTTGACTTATGTTCTTCTTGATGCAAGTTTGGATCCTTTTTGTATGATTTTGGTACTTTCCTTGGATGCACTTGGAGTTTGAAAAACTCCAGAGCTTGTAATGGCTTCTCTAGGTCATTAGACTTCTACGAAATAAGAAAAAGGACCATGATTGGTGTATCTTGTGTCCATGCTCAATTTATAGCCTCATTAAGGACTTAATGGACTTATACTGTTAGATCTAGCCTTAATATGAAGTTCTAATGGGTAAAGTTGGAAACTTTATCTATTAAGTCAGTATGAAAGTGTAGATCTGAGATTTTGGGCTTTGATCTTAAGGGATTATGCACTTAATGGAAAAGTTGGCAATCTGCCAGATCTCACGACGTGGCCAAAGGCCTGCCACGTTGTAACGATTCCTAGATGCTCTACTATTTTATCTTTAGCTGGCCACGACGTGACCAAGAGCTTGCCACGTTGTGGGGAGTCGTTGATTGTTGACTTTTTGACCAGTTTGAATTTGGGTCAAACTTGAAGGAATTGAGTTATTGATTAAGGTTCTAACGTGTTTTGGTGCTAGTTGGTTCATGGGAGAAATCAGTATAGAGAGTAAGCATGTTGTTGTGTTTCTTGTGTCTCCGACTCAGGTGAGTTTCCTCCACTAGACGATCACCAACCTACTGGTACTCCAACCAACATACTACTACTCTTATATCCTAACATACAAGGATATGCACTGCAATACATAGCCTAAGAACTCTTGATCTAGGCTTCTTGCATGTTCCTTGTTTGGTTGTGGCTCTAGAGTGGGATCTCATGTTCGAATGTCTATCTCACATCTGGTTACATATAGTTATGCATTCCTTAGAGATCTGTCAGTAGTGGTGTTGTACTGTATGAGGCCGGGTATTGCGGTAGTGAGCTGTTAGACAAGTAGACTAGGGTGGATATTTAAGTGTTTTTATGTGATTACTTGGTTAATTACTTGTTTTATATGTCTACATATTGTGGTGGGGTGGGTTACAGCGGTCCTGCTTTATGTTGTAGGCCAACAAACCCAGGAGCAATCCGGTCTTAAGCTTTGGGTCGGGTGGGGGTAAACCAGTCTTAAGTTGTGGGGTCAGGGGCAATCCAGTCTTCGTGTTGTGGGCATGGGGGAAATCTAGTTTTCATGTTGTGGGCCCGGGCAATCCATTCTTCATGTTGTGGGCCCGGGGGTAATCTAGTCTTCATGTTGTGGGCACGGTGTGCATGTATTGTATGTATATTCATTGTATGTATATTGTGGTGTGTGGTATTTTGGGGGAACTCACTAAGTTTTGGCTTATAGTGGTGGATTAAATGTTTTTCAGGTACCAGTGAGTCATGATCGTGGGAAAGCGAAGGCGTAACTGTACACATTCATCAGCAGCAATGGAGATTCCGCGTTTACTATGTTACTCTGATTTTTAAATAAATGTATTTTGGAACAAATGGTTTTTATTAACTTGGTTTCTATAAATGTGAAGTTTTACCTTAATTAAAAATGAGACGTTACAATGTGAATATGAAAATTATTGTTATCAAGAAAATATTCCCACCTCATCAAAAGCAACCCCAATCATTTGAACACCAATAGGAAGGGCATTTTGGACAAATCCACATGACAAAACCAATGCAGGAAATCCAACCAAATTGACATTCACCTGCAATTTCACAAATGAAAACAAAAAAGCCAGAAACAATATTAAGAAAAACAACTTATTGCATCCAGAATAACATAAAAGGAACAAAAGCTAGCAGTTAAGAAACAAGCTTAGAAAGACTTACAATCATGATATCCCCCGCATACACTGCCAATGGATCATTTTTATTTTCACCTGTAAATAAAGATGATTGCTTTGACATCAAGAAAGAATGAAGAATCCAGAGAAAAAAAAATGATGATGTGGAAAATTACCGATTTTATAGGTGAAATTAGAATATCGTGTTCATCTAATGTTGCCTTGAAGATTTACTGGACTACAATCCTCACCTAAATCACTAACATCACCATAATTTACTGTTTAGTCATGTCAATGATATCATCAAACATTTATGCTCCAGGAGTCGGGTTTTGATGTCGCACTCTATGAACAATAGAAAAGAAAG